AAAACGGCCCAACTTACGCTTTTATCCTCTGGTGACGGCACCGACTAGTTTCAGACCCTTGGGGGTCCTTCTTCAGGGCAATAGTAAGCTTTGCACACTGCAGTGCGAGGCACGACGTAACCGCGAACATAAGCTAATAGTCGCCCTGAAGATGGACCCCCGAAGGGTCTGACTAGTCGGTTCATTCACCGGAGGATAAAAACGTGAGTTGAGTGGTTCTTAATTTTAGCTTGATAGATGTCATAGGGACAGCACGTTATGCCAACAATCTAGTGTTGTGCCGCTACTTTACCTCTCACCAAAACGGTTTAAGAGTCAAAATAATTCCAGAGATAATGATTTTAACAGTGGTAGAGCCCGCTTTAACATCTTTGCACGAATGGCTCGGCTCGCCCGGTGTAATACCACGAGTACACAGAAAACAGACGTGAAGTGGAAGCAATTCCGCGTTTCGTCTGACGAGTGTGGTGCCGGATAAATATAAAGTGAATCAATTTCTTACTCAAGTGAATTACAAAGCTGTATTTCTCTAGAGAGCTTCTCTTGACCTTGACCTCGAACTTTCTACAATCATCGAAACTAGTAAACTTTACACAGCCTCATGTTTCTATACAATGATAGTAAAAAATAATTAACAGTAAAAATAACAGCCTAAAATGATCCAGCAAGCAATTAATATAAATTACACCAAAATTTACGTCGACTAAATAAACTCAATATTTTGAGTGTTTTGAAAAACTAAAAAAAAAGCCATATAAACTCACATACAATAAAAAGAAAATTAAATAAAAATATAATTGTTGTTAAAACAATAGATTCCCATACAGTCAATCACAACACAATAAACACAAAACTTTCTACACAGAATTTAAAAATTATCTTGAATATTTTATCACAGTAAACAACGTATTATTTCAACAGAAAAAGAACTAAAACGCTATAATTTAAAAATACAATTAACTATGTTTTTTTTTAATTTACGCGCGCGATTTTACAAGATTTTTTTATTCGACACGTGCTTTCCCAACAAACATCGGGCACCAACTGGAGTGGAGAGCAAAATGCGCTTACGTTGGACCAACAAGTTCGTCCAATAGCCAACATCTTACATTTTTATCACAAGTGTATATGACATTTTTTACACACTTAACGTTAAGTTTTCTATTTGTTTTGTATTAAAATTTACTATGTTAAAATATTATTATGGTCCATTACAAGACAATAAATAAATTATGTTCATCGAATGACAATAATATCTTCTAGGTTTTTAATTAAAAAAAGCCACAAAACTCCAAACTACGCTAGTATTATGAAGATGGAATATTTACATTTTTGTATGTATTATAACTCAAAAACTTCTAGGCCGATTTCAAAAATTTCTTCGCTATTTAAAAGCTACGTTATCGCTGAATTTAAATAGGCTATGTTTGTTTACAATGTTTTAATTTCACGTGGACAAATTCGCGAGATACTAGTTAATTATCATTTTAAAAAAAGACAAACATTGGATCATTTTAGCCAATGTTTGTCTTCCACAGTTCTAATAGCGAAGCCTTAAATGGACATGTGATTGCGACGCGTGCTCGTATATAGACATGTGTAGAATTTACATCATACTCGTATCATGCAAATATTATGAATGCGAAAGTTTAGATGGATGGATGTTTGTTAGAGTTTGTAGCCAAAACGGCTGAATGGATTTCAATGAAATTTCGTACAGATGTAGAGTATAGTCTGGAAGAACACATAGGCTACTCACTTTTATTTTTTTTAATTGCACGCGGACGGAGTCGCGGGCAATAGCAAGTAATACTTTAAACTTTATGTCAACATACTCCGTGCTACATTACTATTTATAAAACGTTAAAATATCAAACTATAAAGTTACTGGTTTTTAATATTGATTTTAAAATTTACCTTTGGTTTACAACTTGTCTAGTTAGATTATAAACAGTCAAAGTTAACGTTTGTTCACAATCCATAAAGAGACATTTTCTATTTCGTTAAAAAAATACGTCATAAATATGCACTAGACAATGATATAACATTCGTCTTAAGAAATGAGATAATTACAAAAAGAAAGTGATCCTTGTTTACTCAGTTCATTTGTCAACGTCTGTACACGCAATTGCGGATGGACATTAGATACCTACTTCCGTTACTAAGTTAATTTAAAGTTACGTCATATGTTATAAGTTAATGTAGTAAAATAGAGTTTAAGTACACATTATATAATGTTACGAAAATACAAAATAAATATTCACATCACCAGCTCACTATACGTCCCCACCGAGGGGCTCGGAGCCTACCCTAATAAGGGGTGACTAGGCCATAGTCAACCACGCTGGCCCACTGCGGGGTGTTGACTTCACACATATCTTTAAATTTCTTCGCTGATATGTGCAGGTTGCATCACGATGTTTTCCTTCTGTTATGTTGTTATGTCTCACGATAGTTTAAACAATTTAAGTATATTGTCAATTTTCTAACTCTCTTCGTAAAAGACAACAATGATGTGCATGTTTCTATACATGTTTAGACAGTATAAACCCACGGTTATTCAATCCTGTGTATGTTTGAATGATGTTCTACATTAAATTAGATATCTATCTAATGATATCACGTGAAATGTATCTCAGTTAGTTATGTGATCAATTATTATAGACTAGCTGTTCGCGTGCGGCTTCATCCGCATGAAATTATAAAATTATTGTTTGCATTTGTCAAATTCTCAATTGCAAATGTCAAAATACCAATTACCTTACTATGACAATCTTGCTTTCTTGATGTTGGCAGCAACTTATAGTCTCTTTCCCACATTAGGGTTTTTATCCGAAATATTTACCCCCTAAGTTTAATGGCGTGAAAATATATAGCCTAAAGCGTGACGTAAGTGTAGGGCTTTTTATAAAAAAAAAAGAATTATTCAAAAACATGCTGTAAGACATCTTAGGCAACAAAGAAGTGTGTGTTTACGCTTTATTATAATAGTATAGAATATACAATATAGATACGAAAGTTTAGATTGATGTGTTAGAGTTTGTAGCCTAAACTGCTGAACGGGTCTCGATGACATTTGGCATAGATGTAGAGGGTAGTCTGGAAGAACACATAGGCTACTTTTTTTTTATTTAATTACATTCAGACGGTGTCGAGAGCGAAAGCAAGTACTTAGAATACAGTTTTTATGTAAACGAATAAATATTTGTTACACATTAAAAGCGTTCTAACGAAACTTTAATTTAGAATTTATTGTTTTTCTGAAAAACATTGCAATTACGAAGTTCCACCGTACAATGTTTTTGTATGAGTTTTGAAACAGTGCACTCATAGGTACAATGTTTTGTTCCAACAAGAACCAGTACTATATTATTGTTTTATACATAACAAAGGTAATCGGTGAGGATGAAACAGTGAAAGTGGTGCGAGGTCGACGGACACGCACAACGCGCGAACAATAGATTTACTATAAACAAATACTGTTAGGAACAAAATTAGTACCGTGCTATAGAATTGGCACAACTCTAGATTATTGGTATAAACGTCACGTCCCTAGCTGACAGCTGTCAATGTCACTAGAAGTGCGGATTTGGCGCGCATCCAGAGTCCTGACGAGAAGTGTTGCTCTGAGTTTAAAGCGACAATATCAATTAAATAAGTTGTTTAAAAATACATATGTAGATAGAATTCATTAATAAATCTAGTAAGATTATGAAATAACAATATTTAGTTTACGGTGACACACGGCGGGTCCAGGATTTTTTACAGTGGTAGTGCCCGCTTTAACATCTTAGCACGAATGGGCCGGCACTCCCCCAGTAATACCACGACCACGCAGAAGACAGGCGTGAAGTGGAAGTAATTCCGTGTTTCGTCTGATGAGTGTGGTGCCGGAGGCCTAATTTAAGTCCCTTACTCCTTACCACCCTTTTCTCATAAGGAGGATGGGAAGGGGAAGTGGATTTGAGAGTGGAGGAGATGCATAGGAAGGGGAAATATCCTCTTTATGTGCGTCTCCTCCTACGTAAGGGTGGGCAAAGCATCTGCAATTACGGATGTCTATGGGCAGCGGTCGCTTCGCCATTTTGGCGGATTCGGATGGCCGCTTGCTCGTTTGCCACCTTATGTTATAAAAAAAAGGAGGGGGGGGGGTCATGAACCCCTGAGCTGGTTTGTCAAGAGCTTGACAAAATATATTTACATATTTTGACAAGCTCTTGACTTGACCACATCTATGTAACCCACCCCTAGTGCCAAAGATGGATCCGCCCTTGCGGTGACATGCATGACAAGATAGAAACACGATTCTTGAAGTAATAATTTGAATACAATAAAAATCTGTCACTGTAATATGTAGTACAAAATCATAAATCAGTTTTTTAAAAGATATTTTATACGAGGATCTAAGTATCCCTTCCCGCCAGCGGCGCAAAAAGGAATGAACTTCTAGAGATGTAAGGAATGAAGTTATTGGTATTATTTTTAAATAAAAAAAATGTATTTTAAAATATTAATTAGTTTCATTTGAACTTTGGTCAGCAGTGACAGAAATGTTAATGCATCCGGTTGACATTATTTAAGCACATCGACCTTTTTGCAAAATAAAACTTCGAAACTCAATAAAATGCATACATTTTAATCGCGTTGAAAATGCATATCTCTATCGAACAATCCGTTCTTTGATACAATTCAATAAATTATCAATGACATAAATATACAAAGAAACGATAATATTCACTGATACCATTTTATATGTGTCATAAGATTTGACATCGAATATTTTATCAATATCAACAATTATCTTTATTTCTTTGGTTATAAAAGATAAAAAATAGACTGTTATATAATATAAATTAACGCCATCTGTTATTCAATTGATGAATTTGTTCAACATAGTACGAACAGCATTAGTTACATAAGTCAAACATAGATGGCGCTGTAACAAACTATAAAGATAAAATTAAATTTAAAATTTGTATTTTCATCAGATCTCTGCTTACCTTATCAGCTTTGTCGGTGGGCGGGCTGGCAGGAGGGCTGCGGGGAAGCCCCAGGTCCTCCTCATCATCACTACACTCGCCACGACCACGTCTTCTCACTGCCGCTACCAGCTCAGCCTAGTAGGACAAATAATTACATGAATTTTAAGTATTGGGATTATTTCTATTATATTAAAGTGAAATGTAGTTGACGATTAACAAATGCATTTTTAAAAACAATATCATTATTAGGTCGGCTTAAAATAACTTATTTTTAAACAAACTACATTGTTTTTGTCATTATATGTTGTTTAGGATTTTCCTACTTGTCAGTTGTTGTTTATTATTAAAACATTGCGGTCTACATTGAAATACAAGTTAATGAGTTACTTAATATAGTTGTATGAAGTAAAAACGTTGTATTTTGCACATATAAACGTATCTAAGGTACATGTAGAATTGTACGTAATAATTTTTAAGATGACTAGAGGCCGGATGCTTGTTGATAAGTTATCGTCTTCCGTTAGCGAACTGCGTGGAGCTTGCAATATGGTAATATTACAAAGTACATAATATATAGTAATATAGGTTTAATATTCCCTTAGTAAATTGGTTTCAGTAATTCATAAATAAATGACTTTAACAAATGTTTTGAGTCGTAAAATTAATTTTGATTGTTGATAATAGATGGCGCTGATTGTCAACTTATCATCGGATGAACCAGTTTATGATTATATACAAACGCACCCATAATACAGATAGTTTAGCTCTCGTCACCCAACAGAACCTTCTTTTCCATGCTTGATTCATCACCTTTGTTTAGCACTTTAACATTATCACATAGACAACACAAAGTTGCTAAAAATAACTAAATCACATACTAAATTAGAAAAATTTACGTCACAAATTGATTTTGGTAAAATGTGGTTTTAATATTTTATATTAAATAATTATTTTTTTAAAACGCAGCAATATAAGTGTTAAATTACCGCGCGCAAATAAATAACTAATATTGTCAAATGGTTTTATTCCAAGTTATGAGTCAAGTTTTCAGCGTATACTTAAAGTAAACATGGTGAATAATTCTAAAAAGGATAAAGGTTGAGGAAAATAATACTCGGTTTTAATGATCAATCAAAATCCATGAGAATTATTCCATTATTTCGAACGTATTTACACATATTTAACAATCTCTTAGGCACATCTGAAACTAAACAGTGTTAAAACCCGCTTTAATAACAGTGGTAGAGCCCGCTTTAATATCTTCGCACGAATGGGCCGGCACGCCCGGTGTAATACCACGACCACACAGAAAACAAGCGTGAAGGGGAAGCAATTCCGCGTTTCGTCTGATGAGTGTGGTGCCGGAGGCCTAATTTTAGTCCCTTTCCCTAGGAAAGGATGGAAAGGAAAAGTGGATTTGACGGTGGAGGAGACGCATAGGAAGGGGAAATGTCCTCTTCAGGTGCGTCTCCTCTTCCGTCAATTAGGGTAGGCAACGCACCTGCAATTGCGGATGTTTATGGGCAGTGGTCGCTTTCCATTTCGGTGGATTCAGGTGGCCGCTTGCTCGTTTGCCACCTCATATTATAAAAAAAAAACTGTCGCACAACTGTTGTCTCGCTTTGATTCCTATTATCTTATATGCGCTCACTACTCGATTTTAAGTTGCACAACTAAACAGTTGCTAGACCAAGCCAAGGCCCACAAAGGACTGTAGAGCTATAAAAGATGAAGAAGAACTAAACAGTTGAATAAGCTGCGTAACAAACAGTTCTGCGATAGTTTGGTCAAAGTCCCCGTCCGCTTTAAGTCAAAGAACATAGTCCATCATCATCATCACCAGCTCACTATACGTCCCCACTGAGGGGCTCGGAGCCTACCCTAATAAGGGGTGACTAGGCCATAGTCAACCACGCTGGCCAAGTGCGGGTTGGTTGACTTCACACATATCTTTGAATTTCTTCGCCGATATGTGCAGGTTGTATCATGTTTTTCCTACACCGTAAAAACGTCGGGTAAATTATGTCCATTTTTGTTAATTATGAACATAGTCCGTTCTCTACAAACTCTACAATTCATCTATCAATTGTTTTTCAAAGAAAATTAATACAAATATTAACATCAGATAATTTCAAAGAAAGTTTAATTGGTTTAATTTAATAGGAAGTCTAACGTAAGCATTCAGTGAAGTTTCTAACGAGTTCCGTTAACAGTCACTGCCTTTGATAACAATAAAATATACTTTAAAATCACGCTACTATTTAAATGTACACATGCAATATAATAAAGTAGTGAAATTAGCAATTATTAAACAATATTAATAAAAACTAGCTGTTCCAGTGCGGCTTCATCAGCATGAAATGTCAAAATTCAAATGCACAAATGACAATTGCTGCCTTGATGTTGGCAACTTATGGTTTCTTTCTCACATTAGGGTTTTTATCCAAAATATTTCCCCCTAAGTTTAATGGCGTGAAAATATATAGCCTAAAGCGGGACGTAAGTGTAGGGCTTTTTATTAAGTAAAAAAATTATTAAAAAACATCCCGTAATTGCTGAGATCTTAGGCAACAAAGAAGTGTGTGTTTACGCTTTATTATAATAGTATAGAAGTATAAATTGGGGATACTTATAATTTACCGCCGAATACTGAAACGCCATTTAAATATGTAAGGCCATGTAAACTCTAAATTCCTTACTTTTGACATCTATCAGATTGTAAGCGGCGAAGTATTTAACTTTATTCCCGTTTTTAAGGTAACATTCTAGTTATTTAACAGTTCGACTGCTTTGTCGCTTCTATCTTTGTCTGTTTCAAGAGAATATAAGAGATGGTGTATCCTAATATAATCGAAACCCATTGAAAACAAAAAACTAACTAACATTTAGAGCGCGCTTTGAACCATTGTGCGACTGTCGATTGTTTCGCAGCCGATTCAACTGTTTGTTGCACAACTAAAAATCGAGTGTGCGTACCATATATATACAAAGAAATCGAAACGAGATTAAGCAGTTGTGCGATAGTTGAGTCACAGGTGTGCGCGCTCTTAAATGGAACATATACATTCATCCTCATCATCATATCCCCTGCCTTATCCTACTCCCGTAGGGTCGGTGCACCGGGTTTTCGTCCACCAAAGCACTCTATCATACGTAATCTCAGTCATCACTCCCTTCTTGATCATGTTACCTTTCACGCAATCCATCCATCTCTTTCTAGGCCTACCTCTACCGATGTACCTCCACATTCCTGTTACATGCGATTCATGCCTTCTCATAATATGCCCATACCACACTAACCTTTTACTCCTTATTTTCTCAACCACTGGGGCTACTCTCAAACTTCCTCTAATATACTCTTTCGTATCTTATCCAATCGTGTTAAATGGAACATATACATTAAAGTTCAAATTAGTTTTCGACATAACGTTACTGTGCATCGTAATGCAGTTACGAAAGACTGTGCCGAGATGTAGGCGGGACAGCTTTTGTAATACCATCTTGTCACGGACGTGTTTGAAAACAAGACAGACTTTCATTGTTTAAAAGTTCTCTACAAAACATATCTTACTAATATTATAAGTGCGATAGTTTAAATTGATGTTAGAGTTCGTAGCCTAAACTGCTGTACGGATTCGTCGGCTGAAACGTCTATACATTCTTTTCATTCCAAATTTCAATAAATCTATACTATTATAATAAAGCGTTAACACAGACTTCTTTGTTGTCTAAGATGTCAGCAATTACAGCATATTTTTGAATAATTCTTTTTTTAATAAAAAGCCCTACACTGACGTCATGCTTTAGGCTATATATTTTCACGCCATTAAACTTAGAGGGTAAATATTTTGGATAAAAACCCTAATGTGGGAAAGAGACCATAAGTTGCTGCCAACATCAAGAAAGAAAGATTGCTAAGGTTTGTCATGTCATGTCATTTTGAAAATATCTATTGATAATTTGACAAATGTAAACAATAAAATGATGGATGAAGCCGCACGGGAACAGCCAGTTAACTAAATTATCATACTATCGAAGCCTAAGTTCAAGTTACGTTACATTACCCAAGTAAACACAAACATTTGACCACTAACATTGATAAGAGCTAAAATAGCAACAAAGCAATTAGTCGGCTGATTCACGATGTGCTGACTCAGCAATTTAAACTTGACTCAGCGATCGCTAAGTCACTACTGTATGTTTATGTAGTCGAAGACGCTTATTACCTACCCATTTTAGTGAAATATCTTTGATGCAAACCAAGGATATCCCGAACGTCTACGACATGAGGATACTTGGGGATTTTAAACTATTTTTTTTATATCATAAATTGGCAAACGAGCGACCACCTGAATCCGCCAAAATGGCGAAGCGACCGCTGCCCATAGATATTCGCAATAGCGAATGCGTTGCCTACCATTGATCGACGTTTGTCAAATCCACGTTCCCTTTCCATCCTATTCGTATTATAAAAAGGGTTAAATAAGAGATCAAATTATTTCGTCATAATATTATATAGCTTAAAGTCTTTAATCGAATTTATTTAACACTAGCTTTACTCGCGACTTCGCCCACGTGAAATAAAAAATATAGCCCATGTTACTCACTGATAACGTAGCTTTTAAACGGTGAAAGAATTTTTTAAAATCGACCTATTGGTTTTTGAGTTATTTCAATACATACAAAAATACAAATCTTTCTTTGTGATGTTAGTGAAGATAGTATAGACTAGCTTTCTCCCGCGAATTAATAAAAACTTAGTATGTAGCCTGTGTTCTTACAGATTATATTCTTCGTATATATGCCTAATTTCATCGAGATCGGTTGAGCCTTTAAAGTAATACTTAGTAACAAACATCCATCCATCTGTCTAAAATTTTGCATTGATAATATTAGTAAGTAAAAGTTAAAAAGAGGAAAAATTGTCAACTTAACTTAGAAGTAACTTAGAGTAGGCTAAGAGCCGCTCAGTGGAGATGAATAGATAATGAAGATTGTTTCGAAGTGTTTAACAAAACAAATGCTATTTACCAGAAAAACTTTTGTCGCGACCAGCCATTTTACATTCCATATTGTGCGTAAAACGCTTCTAAAAGATCGACCCATCACTTCACTAAATAACGTCTCAAAAATCG